TTGCATATTAATATTCATGACTCACATAGACTGCAGTTATCTGGCTAGCTAGAACATTTAGAAGCATCAACTTGCTTTTAAAATTGGTGCTTTAATTCTAACATTACAAGAAACTGTGAGACCTGTAGCTGTCCCCACTGGGAGGATTTTCCTATCCTGCAGTAGATGTCAATGATCCTACCTAATTAATTCAGAGGCTACTTCAGCAAGTTGCTATGACATAAAAACCTATACAGTATTTCAAGTTGCTTCATTTATTAATAAATAGCATAGTGGTAATAGCTTTCACTATATCATGGGAATTATATATCCCCTTGGCCATCATACAAAAGTTACATCACGGAGAAATAATAATTTATTCTTGGGTGTTAATGATTCCAAAATTTTTAGAAGTAAAAATTCATCTTAAATAATTATCATTTTATTTATTCAGTCATTGATTATTTATTGTGGCACACCATCTTCTATGATGGTATGCTAGGTAATGAAGATAGATTTCTTAGTAATAGTTATCTTTGTCTAGAACTTAGAGGCTACTTGGGAAAGTTTATATTAATTTATAACAATAATTGTAATAAAGAAATAGGCAACATTAGAGCATATAGGAGAGGAACATACTAATGTACTTTATGATGTTTTTATGTTAGTAACATAAAAACCTTTATCTTAACTTCCTGTGCTCATCTGGCCCCATTGGCAGAGGCATGGGTGAACCAGCTGTTCCCATTATTTACCTGTCATGTGGCAGCATTGGTGGGGGAGATGCCCCCCCCATCAATGCCTGAGGCAGGAGGGAAAGCTGGCCCTAGGTCCTAAGAGTGAGAAAGCTGTCCCTGCTTGCCACTAGGCATAACACTCAGGAAAGCAGGCCCTAAATCTTGCATTGGCAGAAAGCCAACCCATTTGTGGAAGTGTGGGTGAGCTAGCCCCAAAGCTGTGAGCACAGGAGAGCTCTCTCCATTGTTCATCTTTCATGTGGCTGGGGAGAGCTGACTCTGACACCATAAGGGCAGGACTATTGCCTCTGTCACCCACTAGCTGCAACACTTGGAAGGGCAGACCCTGAACATTGTTTGGACAGCACATTAGAACCAACCCCATTGGAAGAGGTGTGAGCCATCCCTGATGGTGTGATCATTGGGAAGCTGTCCCTGTTGCCCATCTGTCATGTGGTGTGGGTAAGATGCTCTCCTCCTCCTTCTCTTCCTCCCCCATTCATCAATTCTGAGGCAGGTGGGATAGCCAGCCATCAGGTCATAAGAGAAGAGTGGAAGAGTTTGCCCTGCACATCATCAGCCGCAGCGTTTGGATAGTGGCCCCTACACCATGACTGGGCAACACAATATAGCTGGCCCTGAATTTGAGTTGTAGGTGTGGCAGATCTGACCCTGAAGACATAAAAGCAAGAGAATTGGCCCTACTCCTTGATCAACACTTCAAGAGGTAATTCACCAAGGCAATTCAGGAGAGTTCACCCTGATGGTGAGAACAAGAGCTGACCAACACTGAAACTACCCAGGCCCTGAACCAGGGTTGTCTGTTGGCCAACCCCAATATCTACACCATCTCAAACCTGCAGGATTTCCACCTCACAGGGCAATGGCAGGATAACCAAGAGTAGTTACAGTGACAGCCCAGTATCAGTAGTGTATCAGAAACCATAGGCCTCAAACCAGACCAATAACTCTTTGCAGTGAATAATTGCAAGTAAATGTATGTGGATAAAAGGGTTTATTGAATGGCTCACTGTGTCATGCTACATCTTCCGTGACAAGACTGACATTTTTCCTTCTCTCTCTCTTTTTTACATTTTTTCTTTTTTCTCTTTTATTTCATTTGTGGAGGGTTTCAGGGGCAGAGGGTAGATATGAAGGGACAGGTAAATAAATGGGATGAAGGTGCATGATGTAAAAGACACAAATGTTATTTTATATTTTAAATAGTCTGCAAAATTCTCTTTGAAATATATTTCTTGTGATACAAACTATTCTTTGCCTATAATTTCATGTCCTTACTCAAAGTTACACGTTTTAATAAGCTATAAAAATAAGTATTCATTTATGGCTCTAACCTAAATTCTCTTATTTGACTTTTAATGATATTTAATGATACATTATAGGATTTCTCTTATTACTTTATGTGGTGGCTTGAATAAGAATGAATCCCATAGGCCCATGTGTTTGAATGCTTATTCATCAAGGAATGCTATTTAAAAGGATTAGAAGGATTAGAGGTGTGACCTTATTGAAGGGACTATGTTACTTTGGGAATGAGCTTTGAGGTTTCAAAAGTCTTTATCAACTCCAGTGTCTTTCTCTGTGCCTAGGAGGTAGCTCTCAACTACTCACCTACTTCTCTCCCACCATGACTGCCATCATGCCCCCTCCATAATGATAATGGACTAAGATACTGAAACTGTAAGCAAATGCCATGAGGGGCCCGAGCACTCACCCAGCCCTCTGCTTTGGCAGCTATGACAGGCTGCAGAAAGGACCCAGCAACATGTGCTGAGCTCCTGACTTTTCCCTAATCACTAGGAAGCCAAATGTCCTTCATGTATGGAACAGAACCAATCAGAAGTTAGATGGCAGGATCTGGATGTACTTTACTGATAATAGTGGAATGCAGGACATAATAACTGCCCTGCTAGGACCTTTAGGTACAGAGACCTTATAGCAGCTGCAGCTGTTCAATCATCTCAGGACAGGTTGCCCAATTTCAGAGGTACACCAATCCTGAGACTGTTGTTATGCAACCAGCAGCCCCCCCCAAGATACTCTCTTGCTCTACCCCAATATGCCCTGCCCTGGGTCCCTCCTACTACACCCACTGTGTTGGATGGAGTTACAAGTTAACTTGTGTTAACTTGTAAATTAAAGATTCTTTGGTTTTCATCAGATCTGGTCTCTTAGTGTTTTGGGGGGTTCAGAGTTGGAGCACAACATGACCAATTAAATGCTTCATCTTTTAAGAGATGCTGTGTCATAGTTTTTCTTCACAATAGAATAGTGACTAAGCAGAAGTTGGTACCAGGGAGCAGAGAATTGCTGTGATAGACCTGACTATGTTATTTGTTGGAGGAATATGGAAGAATTTGAAACTCTGGACTAGAAGAGTCATTGAACACTTGTGGGGCTTCATGGAACATCATTTTGGGAGCATGGAAGATAATACTAAACAGGATTTGTACAGTGGGCATCCATACCAAGAGTGGAAGACTATTTGTAACTGGTCTAGAAGACCAGCTGCTCTTATGACATTCTGACAAAGAGTTGTGGCAGCTTTTTGTCCTTATTAAAAAAAAATAAAAAATAAAAAAAAACTGCCTGAGTTTTGGATTGATGGCATTAGTAGAGGAGATTTCTAGGCAGCCTAATATTGACTGTGCCTGTGGTTATTAGCAATCTGTAGATCTATAAGGAAGGGAACAAGTTGGACAAAGAAAAACACAAAATGTACAATTTGAGGAGAAATGGAGCACCAGGAAGTGTAGTAGAGGTATTTGCAGTGCTCAGGGAGACAATGAGTTTAAAGGAAAGTGTGAGATTAAATACAGTAAAGGGAGTGGTAACCTCAGACCATTACCTTACCCTGCTAAACTTCCAACTTGTGAATAGAATTAAAGAAAAGCTTAAACACTGAAGAAAATCAACAACAGAAAGTTGGTGTTAATGTAATTGAACAAAGTGGCTGATTCTATCCCCACTGAGAAGCAGAACTTAGCATCTTTAGCTGTGTGGTTCTGTTTTTTAAGTCAAGTATACAATGTGGTTAAGAAAGCCCTGGACACCAAGCCATGTGTCAAAGTTGTCCCTGCATGGAAGTCTGGAGATGCCATTCTGTGAATCTGTGAAGGTGAAGCATGCACAGTGTTAGTGACACCAAATTGTTGGAGATACCAGAGTCATAAGGTATCTGATAAAGAAAGCTATAGACTAGGTATGAGATGAGAGACAGAGAGAGAGGGAGAGAGAGAGACAGACACACAGAGAGAGAGGGAGACGGAGACGGAGAGGGAGAGGGAGGGAGGGAGATAGATAGATAGATAGATAGATAGATAGAGAGAGAGAGAGAGAGAGAGAGAGAGAGAGAGAGAGAGGTGTTGAAGGCTAAAAAGAGCTGAAATGAATTGGAGATGTGAAGATCCCTTGGCATTGGGATGCAGAATCTGAAGTTTGCCCTGCTGGGTTTGGGACTTGCTTTAGTGCAGTGTTTCCTCCCTATGGTTTCCCTTCTACTTTTGGTAACACATATTCTGTGCAATTGTATTTTGGAATTATGTGATCTACTTTTTGATCTTGAGTTTACAGGAGATTACATTGAGTCTTGGGAGAAAATTTGGACCTTGAACTTTTAAGCAGCCTTGAGACTATGAAAAGATCGTGGGAACATCTGAAGTCAGACTGAATGAAGTTTTGCAGTATGATATGGCTACAAAGCTATGGGAGCCAGAGAGTGGAATGTAGTGGTTTGAATAAGAGTGGACTCCTAAAGCTATCATATATTTGAAAACTTAGTCACCATGGAGTGGCACAATTAGATTTAAAAGGATTAGGAGATGTGACATTGTTGAAGGAACTTTGTCATTAGGGATGGGCTTCAAAATTTGAAAAGGCCATGGCAACTCCAGTGCCTTTCTCATTGTCCAGGGGTCAGCATGTAACTCTCAATTATGCCTCTGGCACCATTCCTGCCATGCCTGCCATGCCTGCCATGCCAGCCACCATGCTCCCTGACATGATGATAAAGGACTAAGCCTCTGAAACTGTAAACAAGCCCCAATTAAATGATTTCTCTTATAAGAGTTGCTGTGGTCATGGTGTCTCTCCACAAAACTAGAATAGTGACTGATACATTTTATATGTTCTCAAAAGAAATTCATGGTTTACATTACTGTCAGTATGTCTTGTCCACCTTAACATGACCTATTTCATATCTTAATGTCAAGAACATTTTATCTTCTTAACTAAAATTAAGTGCCTTAAGTAATCAGTACATACCATTATCAAAGTATCTGACAGTTGAATTTCTGGATACACTGGGATCAAAATTTGCCATTAAAGGTGCTATATACTGTGTGGCTGTTAGCATTCGATGCACAACTTCTCCAGTGTATATGAAACCTATAATGAGAAAGACAGAATATTTGTTATGAAAAATTGCCAGCAAAATTATAACCAAAACTGCAATGATTCAATTGCAATCATGTTTTGTAGGGGCTTTAAAACAATGAACATAAATAGTTTCATAATGTCTGATTAACAATATTTTTTTTTCTGGATAGAGTCAAACTGCTCTTATAACTTGTCAGTATTCAGTAGAATTGCTTATCAGCAATCCATAATATGCAGAGTGGTTATTACCTCAAAGTGAATATTAGACTAAAAAAGTTTATCCCAGTAATAAAGAAAAACAAACCTCCCTTTTTTCTATTTTAAACTTCTGTAATCTTAAACACTTATTTATCATATTTTTTTGTGGGTTTGTTGTTGTTGCTGCTGTTAACAGTGATAGGGATCAAACCTAAGACCTCACACACAAGCTGAGCAAGCACACTAGCACAGAGATACTCCCTCAGTCTTGAGTTTTCCTGAAATGCAATTATAAAAATGCATTATAAAAACAAAAACAAACAAACATATTCTAAATGGCAGACCATTTCTATACTTTGTTTGTGTTCTTTAAACAATTTGAAAGGGAGCTAAATAACAACATGATACAGCCTTCAATTTTCTCTGTTTGCCAAAGCCTTTATCATTCTGAAGTCATATCAAGAAAATGCAGTCTACTTATTTGTAGATATGATGGTAAAACACTGACTACTTACAAATGCCCCTTCTTTGTGAGTTCTCAGCAGGTGCTTAGGGAGAGGCATTTACTATGGTGAACTTAGCCTTGAACTAACTTTCAATAGTTCTTGTTCTATATCCCTACCATGTTTACAATTATTCACACCAAATTCATTCACACAGGACTTATTTGCTTTGTCGAATATCCATGACAAATTGTTAATCTTACACTAGTTTTTCCTCTCCAAAGTCTTTATCTGCCTAAGATAAGAACCACTTCAGGAAATACTTACTAATTTTGTCATTAATCTAAAAAGACACAATGGAAATAAATCTGCACACACAATTTTGTAAAATAAAATTCAAAGCAAATGGTTAGTGGTGATACCATTGGAATGTGCACTTAATTATTACATTACTAGAGAGCTGAAACTACATTAGACCATTTTTTACAAAAATGAAATATTTACTTGTAAATATTTCATTGGGATATTGTAGTTTTCATGGCTTCAAGTTTTAAAATGTAATTTCTATGTAAGTCATTGTAAAATTAAATCTGTAGTTATTAATATATTTAATAATATTTTATTATTAAAGTGATAAATGATTACTTTCTATTAGAAGGAGTGATGATACGATCTTTTCTTTTTATCATATTTCTCTCTAGATTTCCAGTCATTCCATCATATGCACTTCCTCATAATTATAAACACAAAAACAGACATTTTTCGGACCCTGTAATTAATTTTTTTCTTGCTTTCACCATGATTCATTTATAATTTGATCATTAAAATAGACACACACAAAAAATCTACAGATGAAACCTTGAAGGTAACTGTTTTAATTAGATAACGAAGGGGCCCTTTCAGGAAGCATGAGTGCTGGGCAGCTGCTTCCTGACTCCATATTCTCTGTGTGCTGATGGAGGACACTGCTTCACTGAGCAGAGCAAGCAAGAGGAACTTCAATCAGGATGAAGCTGCTTTCCAGATCTGTGCTAAAGCTCAAGGAATTCCTAGAAACACAGAGAATGCAGCCACACTCATGCTACCAGACACTTCATTCCCTTTTTTTTGGATTGACAGCTGGCAGGTAGCATTGGTATGTGTTTATGAGATGTGCAGTAATGTTTTGATTCGTACATGAATCTATAGGTACTATGTTATTCATTATCTTCAACTTTCACGTTTTGTTTGTAGTACACCAACTATCTCCTTATACTCTTCATGGACCTCATTTCCGTTTGTGATCACTCTGCTAGGGCAGGCCTCCAGAGTTTGTTTCTGAGGCATTGTTTGAACTCTCATATACTAACCCTCTCCCTATCTGTCTCTAGTTGCTGCTATTAGGCTCTTGACACCTTCCAGGTCAACTATTTTAGATTCTACACATGTAACTGTTTTATTCATATTTAAAATGGGCACAAAATATGCATGTGCCCCTACAGATTCCCAAGAGATTTGGCAAGAATGTATTCTCTTTTTACAGCCACAGTTTCTCTGGCCTGCATATATCCCAAACTTACAAATTACTATATTTTAAAGAAGTTTCAAATAATACCCAAAGAATTAAGTAAACACACAGATGAATTTGCTTACTGTAAGAAGTAGTTAGTATTCCCTCTTCTGCAATTATTGCAATAGTAAAATGAATCAGATGGGCAGGCAAGTTGACTCAGTGGGTAAAGGTGCTTATTCTTAAGACTGCTGATATGAATTCTATCCTTGGTAACCAAATGTGTAAAGAAAAATATGACCCCAGACAGTTGTCCCCTACCAATAATGTGAACTGAGAACTATGGTACCCATGCATCAAGCCTATGTGCGAGTGTGAGCATGCGTGCGCGCGCGCACACACACACACACACACACACACACACACACACACACACACACACGAATACATAAATGTTATAAAAATAAATCAATTAAATAAATAACATCTACAAAATGAATTATAATTTCATTTGTGGCTGGTACTATGCTTGCTGTTACCTCAATGAAATGGAACACAACTATGATTACTACTATGAGCATAAAGATAAACTCTGCACCAGAAGAAAGGGAATGCAACACTCTGCCAGACTGATTTTTCCTAATCCAGGGAATACTTTTGAATTTTTCTTGAGTATACGAGAAACTCATTTTCGTTAGCAATTCAAATTAGTTCTAACTGAACAAGAATCAATGCAGTTGTTTTTAGCAAAAACATCTACTACTTAGTTCCTTTCTTTATAGATTTTAAAAGTAACATTTTGGCTGTAATATGGAGTGAAGAAATATAAGTTTCCTGAATGCAAGGAACACTGACTTAGCTCTGGGTAGGGACTACCTAACCAAATTAACACAGCTAGTCTGCTGCAAAGATCCATAGCTGTGTAGACCGTAGCTTTTTAGGTCTTTATCTCTCTAACTTGATGTCAAAGAAACAATATTGTTAATTTTACACATTTCATGCTAAGTTAAGCAATGTTTTGTATTGTTTTCTTCAAAATCTTTGATAGTACTTTGAGAAACTTGTATTGGATTCCTTCATTTATTATAAGATTTGGGCATAAGTGGTAGTCATTTATGCTCAAAAGAAAGCTACTGCATTGCCTTCCCTTTGGACTTAACTGCTAGTGTGTCAAGTTCTCAGCCAGAATCATGCTTTATTCTTGCTTATAGGCTTTTCTCCTGTGCATAGTCTCAAGTTGTGTGAATAATCTGATTTCAAATATGTAAACTTCATCAATTAATTAAGTGAACCAGTCACAGTAAGTCTTTTTGTGAACAAATATCATTCAATCATTATGTATTTTTTTTACATTTTAAAAATGTATATGTTGCCTGCACATGTGTCTATGCACCACTTATGTGCACTGCCTACAAAGGCCAGAAGAGGGTGTCAGATCCACTATGACTAAAGTTACAAAGGATTTTGAGCCTCCATGTGGGTGTTCAGAATTGAAATGGGTTCTCTGGAAGAGAACCAGTGCATCATTGAGTAATCAGTCAGTGTCCATAAAGATGGCTGCACTACATCTTGACTCAAGGGCAGAGAGTTCAAAACTGTCCTCAGCAAGTCATAAGACCTAAGGGTCAAAGGGTGTCTTATTCTAAATAGCAGACCTGGTTTGAGGTGTGGCTACTCCTGATCCTCAAGGCTAGGGAACAAGAAGTTGGATCTAAGGTGTGGTTACTGAACCCTTAAAGAAGGAGGAAAAACAGTCTGTTTGTTCCATATACATGATACCATCTTCCCCTTTTTGGTTAAGGTATGTAAGAGTGGTGAAAAACTCATGGCAATTACTGAATTAACTGAATCTGTCCTCATTTTATTTTGTATCTCTATCTTTTCTTTATTGTCTATAGCTAGCCTTTCCCTCATCCACACACCCCCACTCAGGTACAAACTTAGGGTTGCTAGGCAGCCCCACAAAGACAGCTTCTGACAGTAATCTATCTAGTTCCTTATTTGTTTTTATTAGCCATTTTATTAAACATACTATAACCATGCTTATTAACCATAATTACATTGTACAAATAAAACAATCAATAACAACATAGGCAGTTGATAATTAAGTTACATATTCACATTATTTTTGCAGTAACTGGGAAGGGAATGATAGTATTATTTTCATTTGTTAAATGCAATATTAAATAAAATTAGGTTATTTACCAAAACCTTCATGGCCATTATAGGTCTTATGACTCCAAATTCCATGAGCTCTAGGACTGCTTAGAAATAATGTAAACATAGCCTTACATCAAGTCCTGAAGAGGTCAGAGAGTTAAATGGCATTCCTATTTACTTCTCTTGAGGTCATTTTTAAGACAACCACTCTGCAGAAACATTGACAGTTTTCATAGGCAAGTTTAAATGTCGTTAAATGGGAGTTGACAGACTGCACACTTTCCTTTGGTGGATTTTATGCCAAAAGAAGCAGACAGAGGAGGAAAGATCTTTTCTCTCTGTAAATACCATCATCTGTGATTCTGTGCTGTAGAGCAGAGGTAGAGTCACCTCAGCCCTGCTGCTTCTATTAAGCCTGCAGATCCTTTGCCTTTTAACTGGACCGTTTCACAAACAAGTTAGGTTCTTCTGCAGCAATTCAATTTGGTGATAGAAGGCATTGCACTCAATTAGAGAATCTGTTTCATGACAAACAAACTATGTCTGTGGTGTGACTAAATGACTAAACATTCCTGTGCTTTTGTTCCTTGATATCTGTTATATGGGGGAGGGGGGTGCTGCTAGTTTACAAGAAAAGGGATGAATATGACTGTTGCATGCAATAAAATAAAAAAAAATGGAGCCAGAATTTAGTTCAGTGACAAAGAATAGGTCTAGCA